TCACCTGCTCGTCAAATAAAATAGAAAGTCTCTGGTATGATCTATACAGCATGTAGTACCGATCTGGTATCTAGTATCTAGTATAACTCCAGTACAGTATCTAGTACCTAGTATATAGAAAAAAGTATGGAGTATGCAATACACAGAATGCAATACACAGAACGTCGTATGTAGTATAGGGTATAGAGTATACGGTACGTACTATCAGCAAAGAGTAGCAAAGCATTGCAAAGCATTGCATGGCAGAGGATGGTGTATAGTAGAGTATGGTGTATGGTGAACCAAAAGACAGCATAGCACAGCATGGTATGGCAACGTATAGTATGTGCGTAGCGTGTGGCGTGTAGTGTGTGGTAGTGCGCTATTTGAGGTGTAGTGTAGTGTAGTAAGGTGCGGTGTAGTGTGTAGTGAGACTGTAATGTAGTGTAGTGCAGTGCAGTGCAGTGCAGAGTAGCAAGTGTGGTGTAGCATAGTGTAGCGTAGAACAGTAAGGGTAGAGTAGCATAGTACAGTAAGGCATCCTTGGGGATTCAAAGATCGAGGCTTAGGACTAAGGGTATGCACGGAACATTCCACAATTGCAAGGCCTGCCCACAGGCTGCTGGCAGTCCCTGGGGATGCGGTGTGGGGCCACAACCTTGCGACAAGGCTGACAAGCGCATAAGCGCGCAAAATTCTACCGGGCCTACCATTATTAAAGCCCGGGCTCTTGATATGGATCTTACCAAAGCGCGGCGGATGCAGAACCAAGGTGTTCGAAGCAGGCTCCTGTATGACCAGAAAGGCTTGAGCAAAGGTCCCTGAACCCTAAACCCTAAACCCCCTAAAGCCCAATGCCTACATCCCTAAACCCTAAGAAACCCTAAACCCGAAAGCTCAGATGCTGAGGCCCGAACCCAGTGGGCGGCACCTGGGCTTAAGCTTGAGAACCCAGATCTTGCAAAAGACCTTCCTTGAGGAATATAGGTTAAACCATATAGGAATCTTACTATACATTACCAGGACCAACCTTGTACCGTCAAATAGGGATACATGGTCCCAATTCATGGGAATTTGGGGTTTCATAGAGGATAGATGGAGGGTCGAGGTATCAAGTATATCATATACTCCCTATCAATTAACAAGCATTGGAAGATCCGGGAAATTTGGCATACGGGCCTTAAGAGCTACAGCAGGCTCCCGTTGAGGTGTTACTGGATGCTGCATGTATTCAGTCTTCGGGGTTCATTACTAGCTCTTGAGACCCCTTGCATTACCTGAAACAGCAAATCACCTACCTTTTTAAAAAAACTCATATGGGTAGTTCTCTAAATTCTGGTCCCTTTTAGGTCCCCAATATAGTACGGCACCCTTATAAAAAAAACACCCCAAAAGGGACCCTAATTTAGAAAACTACCCATACAAGGAAATCGGAAATAATAAGGCGCTCTCAAAACCGTGGGCCTGGTAGGGTGCTGGAGTTTAGGGTTTAGGGTTTAGGGTTTAGGGTATTGTGCTTGCTTGCACTGAGCCGACGAGATTGACAGGCACGGACGTCGGCTCGGCGACGCCAAGACACAGTCCAGTTTCCCAGAGACTCCAATATCCCTTAATTAAGGAATATACCTTAAACCATATTAGGGATCCTATTAAAATTTAAAGGTATATTCCTTAATTAAGGGGTTCCCTAAGCCCTAAACCCTAAATCCGAAACCCTAAACCCTAAACCTTAATTCAGGGGCTTTGGAGTCTCTAGCTACATCAAGTCTGACTTTACACTGCTCTGGCTCATGCCGGCTACCCTACCCGGACCCTAAAGAAGCTACCTATTTAGGGTTCCGTGATGTAGGGGCCTTAATCATGAAGATAGGGTTTTGGGGGGGCTCCTTATAAAGAATTATAGTATAATACACCTCAAACCCTATTCAAATGATTCAAGCCCCAGTATTATTATGATTTGCTTATGCACGCCCTGAAAAAACATGGGCTATTTCAAGGACCAGGTAAACTCTAGACTCCAGGGAGATGGCATAAGTTCCAGTATCCCGAGCTCACAGCGTTAGTCGATTCACTGCATACCGACGGGTTAGGGCTTAGGGTATAGGGTTTAGGGTTTAGGACTTGCCAGGCGTAGGATATCTGTTACTAGTGACTCGGACTCTGCGTCATGGGGCGACGAAAGTGAGACAGAAGGAGCAGACAGGCAAACAGGAGGGTCAGTTTCACTACTATTGACACAGCAATCAATAAGGTTTAGGGTATAGGGTTTAGGGTTTAAGGGTTTAGGGTTTAAGGGTTTAGGGCTTAGGGTTTAGGGGACACAGCAATCAAGAACACCTAACAGCCTAACATCTACACTCAACGATATTCCCAGGTAGCCCTTCTAAGGTGAGACCTACTTCATGTGAGCCTTTCTCAAAACCACAACACCCCTTGTAAAACCCTTCTACGTACTCACCTCAAGCAGTTTCTGAAACCCGAAACCCTAAACCCTAAACCCTTCTACTCACCTCAGGCAGTTTCTGAAACCCCAAACCCTAAACCCTAAATCCTTCTACTCACCTCAGGCAGTTTCTGAAACCCCAAACCCTAAACCCTAAACCCTAATTCAAACCCTCCGAAACTCTCTACTCACCCCAGGCAGTTTCTGAAACCCCAAACCCTAAACCCTAAACCCTTCTACTCACCTCAAGCAGTTTCTGAAACCCAAACCCTAAACCCTAAACCCCTAACCCCTAAACCCGAAACTCTCTACTCACCTCAGGCAGTTTCTTAGGCCCGGACGAGGAGGGTTCGTCCTTCCCCTGGCCATCGCAGACGAAGCCAGGCTCCACCTCACAGGGCGCAGGCCCCTGACGGAAGAGTTTTATCCGTTTAGAGAGTTAGGGTTTCAGGGTTTAGGGTTTAGGGCTTAGGGTTTTAGAGTTTAGGGTTTAGGGTTTAGGAATTAGGCATAAGGAAGGATCTAGGATTTATGTAAGGGGTTTTAATTTCAGATTTAGAGTTTTGGATGAGAGAACCGAGGCTCTACTCTACCTGGACCCAAGAAGTCCACATACTTAGAGTCTGGTTTCTTGTTTATGAGCTTTTTACATGTGGGTAGTTATCTAAATTAGGGTCGATTTTGGGTGTATTGTGGACCGAAAAAGGGACCCTAATTTAGAGAACTGCCCATGTGTTGGGTTGAAGGTGGATTGGCCACAGGCCTACATCACCTCGCCGGATTGGGCCTCGCAGCACGAATAAGGCTTAGAGGTTTTAGGGCTTTAGGGCTTATAGGGTTTAGGGTTTAGTGTTTAGGGCTTTAGGGTTTATAAGTTCGTAGCCCTGTACCCCATAACCTATTTAAAAACAGGAGTGCCTGATTTCTACGGCCAAACCATACAGCGTGCACATGCTTCTAGACCCCGAAACTCCACATCCTAGACCCGGGGCCACCGCTGCTGTAGACCCTAAATTATGGATCCCCAAAAACCTGAACCCTAAACTCCAAACCCATATGGGAGTTTCCGAAAACAAGGGGTACCTCATTTTGGGGTCCTTATAATAGAGATCCGACTATTTCGGGTACTATATTAGGGTCCCCTATTTTCGGAAACCCCCATATATAACTCTATGTAAATCCTTGAAGCCTAGATCGCTGCCCACCTCGCACGAAGCATCGCATCCATCGAAAGCCACGAGGTTGCCGTCATCACACTGTTCCTGGCCAACAATCCCCAGGGCTCCGGTACATGAATAGGGCTTAGGGTTTAGGTTTAAGGTCTAGGGTAACACCATATACTAGGTTCCTTAGTGACAATGGCCATGTACCAGTAGAGCCCTTCCCTCATGCACACTACTAGACAAGTACAGTGACAACAGTAGTAATCGTAATGTATAGTCGCTTTAACAACAGCAGCAGTAATCAGTAATAACCAACTAGAGTATACCCTGTGTCAGTCTGTGCATTTCATGGAAGTCTATCTTCAGATCCGGCCTAACACAGTACGGCACCTCTAAACCCTAAACCATAGAGCCCTCAAGAATCCCAAAGGGCACCCTCAAGTTCGAGAACTACCCACATTCAGCTACACCCTAAACCCTAAATACTCTGAACCCTGAACCCTAAACCCTTAACCTCGAAGAGCTCCTCGCCCACAACCAGACCATCGCCGCAGGCAAACTCGCAGTCCCACATCAGGTACTCATCCTAGGCATCGGATCGCGTGTTTGGGGTTGGTAGGGTTTAGGGCTTAGGTTTTAGGGTTACTACGACAGGGAACTGAATTAAGTTGGAAGAGGGTTCTGGAGGTACTTTAGCGCATACCTTTATACGGACAATACAAGACAAGTATGGCTGCTGGTACTGCTTAATGCGAGCCTTCGTATTGAACCTGCTGTCTGGCCTCGTGGAAGAACGACACAGGTGTGCCAAAATAATCATGCTGTTGATGCTGATACTAACGATAACGGCAGGAAGGATATGAACCGACGCAGGAACACATACTATCAGTGCTGATGATCGACTTTGCGGAAGTGCCTTCCTTAAAGCCTAAACCCTAAACCCTAAACCAAAGATGCAACATGTTCTCGGGAGACCCCGGAAGATCCGGAACGCTGCATTGCAGATGACTCCGATCGGAACCTCACGCAGAAAACTCTAAACCGTAAACTAACCCTAAAGGTCCACGTACCTAATAATCATATACTCTCCAAAGGGGCCTACATAACTACTATCCGAAGCCTAAGTACCTAATTACTGGGTCCTTGGGGTAAGCTTGCAAAGACGAGAACTATGTTGGAGGTTGATACGTCTGTTTTGTCTTTTCTCTCTGTGATTCGGGTATGCTTCAAAGTGAGGCCGTCTCGACCTCATGCAGACGGTTTAAGAGCCCATCAGGCCGACACTGCACAACCCCAAACCCTGTAAGAGAACGTGCTCTTAAAGGCCCCCTTGTAAGGCCCCGAAAACCCTACAGGGTTTTAGGGGTTTAGGGCTTAGGGTTTAGAGGTTGTGTCCGCACCTTTTCTCTGCGCCCTCACGCTGAGATTGCTGGTGCGCGAGTGAGCTCAAGCTCATGGGCGTAGACGATGGCGGGCCTCGAAGCTCTTGGTAAAGGAAGGACAATTCCTAGACTGCCCAACTACCCTCTAATATACCCTCAATACTCACTATTAAGGACCATAAGGGCTCTCTTAACTACCCTCTATACTACCCTAAATACTCACTATAAAGGGCCATAAGGGCTCTCTTAGGGGGCAGTTGGGGGCATAAGGGGGGTTCCAATGAACAAGGGAACCTGACACTTGGTTATATTGGGAAAAGTTTTGGGGTTTAGGGTTTAGGGTTTAGGGTTTAGGGTTTCCTGGCTATATTGGGAAAAGTTTTATGACATGAAAGTGCAGACCTACGCAAAAAGGAACATACCCTGCAGGAGGGGAAGCATTCCTTATTCTCGTGCCGGATCCAATTTTTGTTTGACGGATGTTATGCACTTCTTACAGAGCGCTTCAATTCCAAGATATGGAACCCTAAACCCTAAACCCCTAAACCCCTAAACCCTAAACCCCTAAACCCCTAAACCCTAAACCCTAAACCCTAAACCATGGTCACAAGGTCGTGTAGCCGTGTCGACCCTTCCACCTCTAGCTCGGGCACACTGGTATAACCGGCTTCTATGCACTCATGAAGCTTCGTGTTAGAGCCCTACCCAACTCCGCAATACCGCATTATGTTTGATAGAAGACACCGACAAGCCTACTAAACATCCCTAAGCCGGATATCGGTAACCCTACACCCTGCCCAGCCCCTACACCCTATCAATCCTCAATCCCTACACCCGAAACAGAAAAAAACCCTAAACCCTATAAGCCCTACCTTAAGAACCCAAAACCTACTCTTTTTGTAGGGTCCCTATAAATCCCATATTAGGGCTTATTAGGGTTTATAATAAGAACCTACAAAAAAAGTGGGTTTGGGGTTCTCAAGGCAAAGCTTAAACCGCAAACTCAGTCCCAGACTTATCGAAGGTGTCGAAGTAGAGTGGACTCAGAGGGTCCAGGTAGGAGGCTGTGAGGACATTCAAGCGCAGCTTGTCTGGACCCACTCCTGAGCGAGTTTAGGGTTTAGGGTTTAGGGTCTTAGAAACAGAATCAGTGAGGTTCTGTAACCCTAGGGCTCCATGTACCCATATAGTAGATACTTAGGCCTTACAGTACCCATATAGGGACCCTTTAAGTCCTAAGTACCAACTATGAAGGTACATGGAGCCTTTGGGTAAGGGCTCCAAAAACTACAAACCCTGATCAGCCCTTGAGCTCAATTCATTCCGCGGAGAGCCCACATGGGTGGTTGTCAAAATTATGATTCCTTTTTGGGTCCTGATTATAATACGGCACCTACTATTTAGGGTACCCAAAAAGGGACCATAATTTTGACAACTACCCACCTGCATGCCGGGGTGCGTTGGAAGGTCCGAAAGTGCTGGTAGTTACCTCCGGACTGAACACAGAACAGCACTTCTGGGTTAAGTGTGTGAAAGGTTTAACGTCTTCAGGGCACCTGGCACTGAAACACCAACGGCACCCCTGGACGGTCACTTTTGGGTTAAGGGTTGGGGTTAATTCCCAAAACTGACGCTCCTATCGGGATTCTTTGCCCAGGCTGGCCTACGTATGCTGGCAGGAACCCAAAATTTTGAAAACCTGAGACGTAGACTGAGACGGCATGGAGATATCCACATCAGTGGCTGTCAAGAGTAGGGTCTCTGCCGGGGGCTCCAAACTCAAGAGTGCCACATTGAAAGTAGAATTGTATAGGGTTCCCCAAAAGGCCATGATTTTGACAGCTTTCCATACGGGTTTAGGTTTCTTCAGGGCCTAGGATTTTGGGTTTAGGGCCAGGCCTTCGTGTGTTCCTGCAAAGACCCTAGTTAAGAGAACTAATTACCCACAGAGGAGGCAAGCCGCAGTTGTATCCTTGAGCAACTCGGGAAGAAAACGTCACCTGTCCTTAGACAAGATGTGATGAGTGCATAGGGTTGGGTCATCTTCGGAGCAGTCCCCGTAAAGACTGGAGAGAATTAAGTAGGGGCCAGGATAGGGTTTAGGGTTTAGCGCTTAACGGTCACTTAACGGTTGGATGTATGGAGATTGTAGATATCATGGCATACTGCCCCAGTCAAGATACTTGAATTCTTGCTTCCAGCTCAAGACTGTAAAACGCCTGTAAATTCGTGCAAACCCCGGAGAGACCTAGACCCTATCTCAGTTCCAAAACACTGTACCTGCATGTGTTCGAAGCAAACCCCCAGAACCCCACAAACCCTAAACCCTAAACCCAAACGCAGCACGGACTCAGCATGATGCCGGCAGCTTGGAGGGTTGCTTCAACGCTTCTGCCCCTTACTAAAGGATGCCCCTGAAAAACACACCCATCTTTGCTTGATGCAAAAGCCTTCAAAATGCCAACAGGCTTTGGAGGTATACTCTACTGTTCTTATAGTGACGACAGGGGATACTGTTGAATAGTGATTATTCAGACCTCCATATTACCCAGCAGGCACATTGATGCATACGGCACAGGGTCGAGGGCAGGTGCGCCCTGTAGGCTCTTGAATGGCCAAAACAGAAGGATAAGCAGCAAGTCTGTCTTGGTGAAAGATTTATGGTTTCTTGGCTGACTTCTGAACCCCTCCTAAAAGTTAAACTTTTAGCTCCCTTATTATGGTTCATATAGAAGCCCCAAAAGTTAAAGTCCTAAGAGCCAAGCAAAGGAACGCCAAGGTTTATGAATCATGAGACCCCAGAAGGGACCAAGATTTAGGAAAGGTGCGGCGGTATTCACTGGACAGGAACAGGTCGGGCTCCTAGAAGCAGTTCTCCATTGGGGATCGTGAGGAATAAGAACCCCAGCGTGGACCCAGTTCCCAGAAACCAATCTAAAGCCAAAACTCAAAAACCCCAAAACCCAAATCCTAAACCCTCTAAGCCTCCGCCTGTCAAGTAACGACAGGCGAGCGAACATCTGCACTTCCAAGCAGACCGTGGGAAAGAAACCAAGCCGAAAACCAAGATCCAGGCTTAATATCGGGGCCTTAACAACTAGAATATGGTTTTGGTTTTGGGGCTCCTTTAACGGGTTCCTTAAAGGGTTCTATAAGGGCTACTATAGGGGTTTCGGGTTTAGGGGCCTTAATAATTAGAATAGGCTTTTGGGGCCCATTATACTACACGTACATTAAGGAACCCCCGGACTAGTATTGGTAATTCTTTAGGCCCCTACATTACAACTCCAGGTCTGCAGTTAACTGCGACCCGAGACACCCATGTTTTCAAGTTTGAGGCTAGTAAGTCCGAAGGGCGTTATAAACACACGGCCCAAAATAGCCCAAATGCCTTTCAAAAGCCCGGACGTCTTCGACAGGGGGTCCTGAGTCCTTACTTCCTAAGACAAGTGCGAGGTTCCTGAATCCTAAACCCGACACCCTAATTACTACATCCTAAGCCTTCAAATTTGGGGCTTTGGATACTCTCACCCTCACGGCGCTTAAAGAAGAGCGTGGTACTAATCAAAGGCCATGATTGAAATGAAGACTCTGCAGCATCACTTTAAGTCATCAACCACCGTCCAGGGTGCTATATGGGATGCCATCTATGTATGCACGTGCTTCTGTGAACTTATGTGTATAATTTCTGCTTTTATACGATTTCTCTCACTGGCATAGACTGGCAAGCTGCCCTGAACCTTAAACCCTAAGCCATTACCCACCGAGGAAAATTGTCGGACCACCCAAGCACAGCAGAATGCCCCATGCCTTCGTTGATGCCGGAGCCCTTCAACGCAGACCTTGGGCTCAGAAAGATCTTGCCGGCTGAACAAAGATAAGGAGTCTTCAGGGTTTCGGTCTCAGAAAATGCTAACGTAGGGGCCTTAAAAACTAGAATAGGGCCTGAATAGGGTTTTGGGCCCCATTATACTATAGTTATAAACAGGAACCACTAAAATAGTATTGGTCATTGTGTAGGCCCCCACAATCTGATTTAGGAATTGGGATGAAGGTGTCACAAGCGTTCAGGATTTCAGAAGGCGGAGGGCCCTAGGCTTCAAAAGACCCAGCTGTTCGGAACAAAAGGAATTCGGATTCTGTCTAGTTAAAGGAAACTACAGGTGGGGAGTTCAGGGTATATAGGGCTTCTATAAGGCTTCTATAAGGTATATAGACTTTCTATAAGGCTCCTATAACGGTAACTAGCCACCTGAAAATGTCCTATTTAGGGCTTCGCACAATCATTACCTGTTCCCGCAGAGGTCCTGCCCTGCTGAACTGCCTTCATCCTAACTCCCTGAACCCCGACTCCCTCGAACCCTGTAGTTTTAGAGTTGCCTCATTA